GCTGGTCTGGATCTGGGTCCGGATCTGTTTCTGGATCTGGATCAGGGTCTGGATATGGCTCTGGGTCTGGGTCTGGGTCTGGGTCTGGTCCTGAGTCTGGTCCTGGGTCTGGTCCTGGGTCCGGGTCTGGTCCTGGGTCTGGGTCTGGGTCTGGTCCTGGGCCTGGTTCTGGTCCTGGTTCTGGTTCTGGCTGTGGTTCTGGTTCTGGGTTTTGGGTCCTCCAGGCTAACTCTCTCTTCTCCTGAAACCTTCCAGCCTACAGAGAGAAGATGCGGGAGCTCCCCCTGGTGTCCATCTTCTGCTCCTGCATGATGCCCCGCACCACAGAGGAGGAGGCCCCCCACCAGCAAGGTGAGAGGCCCCGCCCCCAAAAGCCCAGAGGCCCCGCCCCCAGAGAGCCATAATCCCCGCCCACAGAGGGCCCTTGGATAATCTATTTTAAGATTAACTAAACTAAAATAAGACAAGATAAAGTAAATTAAGATAACATAAACTAAGCTAAGATAAGCTAAGATAAGCTAAGCTAAGATAAGATAAGCTAAGCTAAGCTAAGCTAAGCTAAGCTAAACTAAGCTAAGCTAAGCTAAGCTAAGCTAAGGCTCTCAGGAAGGTATATGTCTGAATATGGGCTCCTGGTTCCTGCTTGTCAGGAGGCCCCTGATTGGCTGGCCCGCCCCCCCCTCTCCCTCCCCCCCCCCCCCCAGCCGCCGGCGTGGTGGACCTGAACCTGTGCGACATCCGGGACGTGGAGGTGCTGGAGCTGGGCCGGGGGGCCCGGGGGGGCCAGGCCTTCGAGGTCATCCTGAGGCCCCCCAGCTTCGACGGCGGGCCCGAGCTCACCTCGCCCCCCCGCCAGAAGCCGTCCCTGGAGGACATCCTCAGGAAGCTGGACGCCGCCCAGGAGAGGAGGAAGGTGGGTCTGGACCCGCGTGTGGGGCCCGGAGCCTAACCCTAACCCTAACCCTAACCCCCCCTAAGACCCTAACCCTCCTAACCAAATCCTAACCCCCTAAACCCCCTAACCCTTACCCTTAACCCTAACCCCCTAACCCCTAACCCTTAACCCTAACCCCCTAACCTCTATCCCCCTAACCCCCTAACCACCTAACCCTAACCATTAACCCGTAATCCTAAACCCCCTAACCCTAACCTAACCCTGACCCCCTTACCCTAACCCCTAACTCCTAACCCAACCCTAAACTAACCCTGTCCCCTCTAACCCCTAACCACCTAACCTAACCCCTAACCCCCTAACCCTAACCCTACCCCCTTACTACTAACCCCTAACCCCTAACCCAGCAAACAGTTCAGCTGTTTCTAATGCAGGAAGTCTGAAATGGTCCACAGCTCTGAGATATTTTTTATTTATTTAGATTTCTTTTAGCCATTTATCTGATTCCTAACTGAATCTGTGGGATTATTTCAGCTTCTGGTGGAAAAACTGAGGTCTTTCCATCATTTTAGTGGGATAGTGGGTCTCAGCTCCTCAGAAAACAGACAGAACCCGGTCAAGCCTCAGACCCTGAGGGCCCCCCAGGCCCAGCCTGACCTCTGACCTCTGACCTCTTCCCCCCCAGTGCCAGGAGGCGGAGCTCCTGAAGCACCTGGCTGAGAGGAGGGAGCACGAGAGGGAGGTGGCCCAGAAGGCCCTGGAGCACCGGGCCGAGAGGAGGGAGCAGCGCCGGGGGCACCTGAACGCCCCGCAGGAGGTGAGGGGGGGGGGGCATAGAGGAAGAAACTAGATCATCGTATAGTTTGATATACAGCAGAACCTCCACACAGGAGTTTGACTGGTTCCGAAACCGACTTTTATGTTAAATTATTGGTTTGTTGGTTCAAATATTCCCATCAGAATACACTGTAATTCCTAAAATTCGTTCCAAAAACCTACGATAACTCCTTAATAAACACTGCAGATAATTACACAGAGCAATAAAACAAATTACTCATAGAAGAGAGATATAAAAAGAAATAATTGATAAAGAAATAATCAATAAAAAGGGTTTTTATTGGCCCTTTACCTCAGAGACTGAATGGAGGTAGAAGTGGAGACTGAGATACAGGATGTACCCTAACTTACTCTTACTTTACTACCTTTAAATTAGCATATCTTATTTATTTTGATTAAATTTTTATATAAAACATTTTTTATATGACTTCGACAACATAAACCAACTTTGCTAATTTATTTTCATTTCATTTTTATATATATATATATATATATATATTTTTTTTTTCTATGACTTTGACGTCATAAACTAACTTTATTTTGATAACATTTTTATATTTATAGTTTTTCTCTGACTTTGTCATATTTTGTGAAATGAACTTCAGTTGTCGAGTCGAATATTTTATCCAATTTCACTCGGGATGTTGGAAAATTATAATGTTTCACAGTCGTGAGTGGAGGTTCTGCTGTAAAATCTGGTTTTTTATGGCTGTGTGACCCCTGATTCCTGTCCCACCATCCTTTAATCCTCGTTCTGACCTGGACCTGAACGGCTCTCTGCCCGCAGGTGTCCTGAGGCCTGATCACAACACGAGCTGAACCACCCAGTCTGAGGCTGTTGGAGCCGCCGGTGGGCGGGGCCTGAGCGGCCGCTAGCTCCGCCCCCCCGGGAGCAGAGGCGCTACTCTGCAGGGTTTCCCGCTTCGTTGCCACGCCGACAGTGCCAGTGTGCGTGTGCGCGCGTGTGTGTGTGTGTGAGGCCGTGCACGCTCCCACAAACCCTAACCCCGGCTGGGCCCACTGAAACCGGACCAGAACCGGACCAGAACTGGACCGGAACGGGACAAGAACCGGACCAGAACCAGACCGGAACCGGACCAGAGCCAGCCTGGAGTCCGGCTCCCCCTGATGCCCCCCCCTTCAACTGAGTGGGTGTGAACCGGAACCGGCCCAGAACCGGAACCGGCCCAAAGAGTCCAGACCAGCAGACCAGCACCCAGACCACTCTGAGACCCGGTCCTGACCAGACCGGGAGGCTGGGTCAGATTAAACCCCCCCCCCGTCACGGCCCCCCCAACTGTGTGTGAATGAGTTTGTTCATGTACAGAAATCTGCTTCTATTTTAACCCAATAAAAACCATCTCTGGACTCTGCTGCTTCCTTTCTTTATTCATTTATCTTATTATAAATACATGAGAATAAATAGCTGCTGGGGGCCATAAATAAGAGCTGGACCAGAACCAGGAGGTCCTGATGGGTCCAGGGGGTCCTGATGGGTCCAGGAGGTCCTGATGGGTCCAGAGGGTCTTGCTGAGGTCCAGGAGGTCCTGCTGGGGTCCAGGAGGTCCTGCTGGGTCCAGGAGGTCCTGCTGGACCCCTGGGGGTCCTCTGGGGCCCTTGGGGGTCACTGCTGGACCTGGACCAGGGGCCGCACGCAGGTGCAGCCCACCGACACCATCCGGGACTCCAGCCGGTAGTGGTAGCTGGGCCCCCCCGCCGCAGGCCTGACCCGCCTCAGGACCAGGACCTGGTGCATGATGGGCCGGGACCTCAGGCTCAGGTCCTCCTTCCCGTCCTGGTCCAGGCAGCCCCGGAGCAGGCAGTGGGCCTCCGACATGACGGGGGTCAGGAGGGAGGAGTCAGTGGACACGCTGCAGAGAGGAGGGGGGGGGGGGTTGGGGGGGGGGGGGGTCGGGGGGGGGCTACGAAGGGGGGGGTGAGTGGGGGGGGGGCGCCCGGTCTCACTTGTAGGTCCAGGGGGAGATGGAGGCGCTCTCCAGGGGCCGGATGTGGGGGCTGGGAACCAACATGCTGGGGTCCAGCATCAGGGGGACGGTTTGGAGGGCCGGACCGCCTGAGGAGCTCCTTCCTGCGTGGCCCAGCAGGGAGGCAGCGTCTGCGGCCAGCAGGACCAGCAGAACCAGGGCCGCCTGGGGGGGGCAGACAGAGGGGGGGGGGGCAGAGTTCAGATTTCAGGACAAATGAGGGCTGTGGCCCAAAGGCCCTTCAGCAGGAGGCCGCAGTGGAACCAGCAACTACAAGCGGCAACCAGCAAACGGCATCGATCAACAAGCAAACGGCAACCAGCAGCCAGCCACGGGCAACCAGCAGACGGCAACTAGCAAACAGCAACCGGCAACCAGCAGCCAGCAAACGGAAACCAGCAACCAGCAAACGATAAACTAGCAAACG